CAACATTTATTGTTTTGGGACTTTTTGATAAAGGCCATTCTCACTGGAGACACATGATATCTTATTGCAGTTGTGATTTGCATTTCCCTGATGATTAGAGATGTTGAGCATTTTTTCATATGTTTGTTGGCCATTATTCTGTCTTCTTTTGAAAAGTTTGTCATTGTCCTTTGCCCACTTTTTGATAGGGTTATTTGATTTTTTTCTTGCTGATTTTCCTGAGTTCTAAATAGATTCTAGTTATCAGCCCCTTATCGGATGTGTAGTATTCGAAAATTTTATCCCATTCTATAGGTTGTCTGTTTGCTCTCTTGACAGTTTCTTTGGCTGTTCAGAAGCTTTTTAGTTTGATAAGGTTCCATTTATTTATTTTTGTTGTTGCTGTGATTGACGTTGGGGTCTTCTTCACAAATTCTTTGCCTAGGCCAATGTCTAGAAGAGTATTTCCACTTTTTCCTCTAAAATTCTAATAGTTTCTTACCTTAGGTTTAACCCTTTGCACTCAGATGTCGAGTGTGGATAATGTCGAGTGGATAATGAGAAAAAAGCAAGCGAGTGCAAAAGGTTAAGTCTGTTGCCCAGCGTGAGTTGATTTTTGTGAGAGGTGAAAGTGTGGATCCTGCTTAAGTCTTCTACATGTGGCTGTCCAGTCTTCCCAGCACCATTTATTGAATAAGGATTCTTTTCCCCAGTTTATGTTTTTGTCTGCTTTGTCAAAGATTAGATAGCTATATGAGGATGGTTTTATATCTGAGTTTTCAGTTCTGTTCCACTGGTCAATGTCCCTATTGTGCCAATACCAAGCTGATTTAATTACTACAGCCTTGTAGTATAGTTTGAAATCTGGCAACTGATACCTCCCATTTTGTTTTTATTGTCTAGGATTGCTTTTGCTATACAGGGTCTTCTCTGGTTCCATACGAAGCATAAAATTATTTTTTCTATATCTGTGAAAAATGATGTTGGTATTTTAATAGGAATTGCATTGAATAGGTAAATCACTTTGGGTAGTATAGACATTTTAACAATGTTGATTCTGCCGACCCATGAGCATGGTATGGTTTTCTATCTGTTTATGTCCTCTGCTATTTCCTTCTTCAGTGTATCCTAGTTCCGCCTATAGAGGTCTATAAAGCCATTCTGTTAATTAAAAAAAAAAATGTGTTAGGTTTAACTTACTTTCTTTATGTATTTGGCATATTTGACATATAAAACCAAAAAATTGAAATGTTTTCATTTTCTCTAGTATGTGAGCAAAACAGCACCCCGAAGGTATCACAAGTTGGGGAAGAGGGCCTATAATTTTGTGAAAATTTTAGTAAATTTTCTGGAATTTTTCCTCACCTATGGAGAAGACCTAGGACACAAAAGCATTATGTGTTAATATTGATTCAAGAATTAAATCACCAAAACGTTGGTGTGAGAAATTAAAGACCTAAATAAATATAGAGAGATTATGCTTGTGGGTTAGAAGACACACTATTAAGATTCACTAAATTAATAGATTCCATTCAATCTCAGTCAGAATTGCTGAAATTGACAAACTGTCTCTGAAATTCTTAGGGAAATAAAAGGACCTAGAACAGTCACAACAGCTTCAAAAATGAAGGACAAAATGGGATGACTAATATTACCTGTTATAAGAATTCTCATGAAGCTATGGTAAATCCAGACAGTGTGGTATTGGCATCAATATCACCAAATAGAACAATGGATCAGAATAGAGCATCCAGAAAACAACCTACATGTATATGCACAATTGATTTTTGACAAGATGCAAAAGCAATTCACTTGTTTCGGGACAATAAGATATAGTTAGAACAATTGGGTATCTATATACAAAAATGGGGGAAAAAAGCTTCAGTTAAGTTCCTCATACCACATATGAAAATTAACAGAAAGTACGTCATAATCAAAATGTATAACCTAAAACTATAATACTTCCAAAAAGGAGGAGAAAATCATTGTGACCTTGGATTAGGCAAAGATATTTTAGATATAACACCCAATAGCATGGTCCATAAAAGAACAAATTGATAAATTGGACTTCATCAACATTAAAAACTTCTGCTCTTCAAGAAACACTGTTATGACAATGAAAAGGTGAGCCACAGACTGGGAGAAAATATTTATAGATCATATGAATACTTGTACATAAATATTGTATTCAGAATATATAGTTAACTCCATAGTGAGAAAATAATCAATTTTTTAAAAATGAGCAAAAGATTTGAACAGACTTGTTACCAAAACAGAAATGTTGATGGCAGTAAGCACATGAAATAATACTCAACATCATGAGTCACTGGAAAAATACAAATTGAAACCATAATGAGATATCATTAACACCTATTAGAATTGCTAAAATTGAAAACTGACCATACCAAGTGTTGGTGAGGATGTGGAAGAACTGAAATGCTCATACACTGCTGATAGGGATGTAAAATGGCGCAACCATTTTGCAAAATAATCTGGTGGTTTCCTAAAACCAGCCATTCAACTCCTAGGTATTTATCCATAAAAATGAAATACACAGACTTGTACACACATTTATAACCACTTCATCTGTAATAGCTCAAAGCTCAAAACAATGCAAATGTCCGTCCACAGGTAAATGGATAAACTATAGTATTAATATAATCCACACAATAGATACCATTCAGTAATATAAAGGAATGAAATATTGATACATGTTACAAATGGATGAATCTTCATATAATTATGCTGAGTGAAAGAAGCTGTATTTACACATAGCCTCTACATACTGTATGATTACATTCATGTAAAATTCTAGAAAATGCAAACTAATATATAATGATAGAAAGGAGATTAGAGGTTCACTGGGGATAGGAGATGTGGAGAGGGACTTGAGAGTTTAGATTAAAAGTGAGTAGAAGGAAACTTTGGAGAATGCTGGATATGTTATTTTACTTGTGGTGATGCCTACATAAATATGTCAAAATGTATCAAATTATGCATTTTAAACAGTGCATTTTATTCTCTCTCAGTATTTTAGGAGTCCCCAAGACCACTACCTGTTTGGTGATTTACTAGGACTTATAGCACTCAGTTGTACTTGTGGCTTAGATTTATTACACGGATGCAGTAAGAATGCACAGCCGGATCAGTAAAGGGAAAAGACACCAGGCAGGGGCTGGAGGAATCTGTGTGCCGGCTTCCTACCCTTTTTTCCTTCTTCCCTTCCACCAGGGATCACACAGGGCACACTTTCCCTCCAGCAATGAAAATGTAACCATGGGTTATACAATGTTTTCGTCCAGGGTAACCCATTTGAGACTCAGAATTCAGGGTTTTTATTGGGTCACATAGGCAGGCACCCCTGGGCCACCACAATTTCAGATTCCCAAAGGAATTGCGTTGTTCACTGCCCCAGGCAGACAAAGCAACCTTATCTGTGTAGAAAGTGCTTCAAAAGTGAAAGTCAAAAGTCAAGTTCCCAGATGCTAGCCAGGGCCAGCCTTGCAAGCAGACCTTTCTAAAGGTAACAGTCTCAGGCTTATTAACTTTTTTCTGGAGCCAGGTGTACCACCAGTAGAGCATTTTAAAAATCATCATAGAAGTTAATATGAGCTAACAGGAGATAATTGTGATTAATTATTGAAAAAGTGATAGTATAAAAAATAGTAACTTCAGATTTGAGGCCGACCAATGCAGTGAGATCTTCATTACCTGGGATGCTCCATACCCTTAAATCTTTTTTTAAGAACAAGGTGGGAATAATAATAAGTAAAATTGGGATGCTTGGCTCATGGGAGCTTTTAATGACTTTGACTTTTGCATGACTTCCATTTCATTCGTATTTGAAAGTTTTTCCCAAGTATATCATTTTTCTTCCTTTCACACAAAAAAATTCCTTGATTGATAATCATTATTGAACCATTGGTTAACTAATCGCAACCCATTTCATTTCTATAGCAGATAAAAGGCAAAGCACTGGTGTTGAAATTATGATTACTTCAACAATAGCTCCACCTTACGCAGCCATGCAGCTACCTAAGGGCACACCCAGCTCCGAGTGTGAGTGGAGCTTAAATCCAGCTTGTGCTGTGATGGCCGAGCCATGAGCACCAGCATGGAGTGTGTCTGCCTGAGAAAGGGGCACCTTTTTCTAGTTTGCACAAGGTACTAAGTGGACTGTTCCCCCTACGCCCTGGAAGAAGGTGGTGGGTGGAGGTGGTAGCGGTTTTTCCCCAGAATGCTGCCTAATACCAGCAAGATTTCTTGTGAGCACGCCTTTCCCCTTAAACAAATCCAGCTATTAACTGTCCACTGAGGGTTGTGTTTAACCAGAATATCACTACCTATGACAGCGTGTGACAGATGAGGATCAGCTACTCCAGCTACCTGCGGGGGACATTCTTCTCTCTAGCTTGGCCCAGTTGCCCTTGGAAGGCAAGCAAGTTTTTAGGGCGCATGTTTCTTTTTGTCACTCTGGAGGATGCCCGGTGTCGTTTCTGTATCTAGAGCCCATTATTAATGTCCTCAGGCGAGGTTTTTATGTATCTATAGCAGTAAAAGTTCAGAGAAAGGGAACTCCTGTGGCTCCTCTGAGTGAAGTTATTGCTCTATGAAGTTTCCTTAAGAAGAATTAAATCTTACTTGAGAAGATATGAAGTGTTATTTAAAAGATTCAACTTTCAAGCAAATAGAAAATATTTGATAGGCACACCTTGGCTTCAAATAAGTGATACTGAGGCATGGACAGCCCACTTTTTTTATTTTTATTGAGCCTGGAACCACCAGCTAAGTTTATGACTGAGTGCAAAGCCCGGGGCGCTGGACAGACAGACATAATGGATTGGGGAAGTGGTCCATCAGATGGATTCTGTTTGGAAACCTTCAACGTTTAAAATCTATATCCCACACTCCCCCCCCACACACACACACACATATACACACTTCTATGCAGCTCTCACTTCTTTCCTCCCTTCTTTTTTCCCTAACGAAACTTAAAACACATGTCTTTTCCCCTTTGATAGATGCGGACCACACGCAAGGTCTCCGTCTGGCCCGTGGGCCTGGTTGGTGGGCGACGCTACGAACGTCCGTTGGTGGAAAACGGCAAAGTTGTTGGCTGGTACACCGGCTGGAGAGCAGACAGGCCTTTTGCCATCGACATGGCAGGTGAGGAGTGTGGACGGGGACATTTGTACCTGCCTGATTGTTCCTATGATGTGGACCAGAAGAAGGAAGCTTTAACACATGAGCTGCCATGTGAGTTGTATTTAACTCACGCTAGTTTTGAGCCTGAGGCCTCAAGCCTGAAGCATATGTAACTCACACATCTCTTTACCTTGGGCGCCGCTTGGACTATTTTTCAAGTTGCATATAACTCACACACAGAAAACAATAAAAAATAACAAATTTTTCATTCAATTAGAAAGGATCATTTTGTTTTCGAAGTTTTTATTCTATTTTGTAATAAAACACCATGGCCCTAAGAGAAAAATTTTTTTCTAGTGTGGCAGTCAATGTGTTAAAGGACCAATCTGGACAAAACCCTAGATAGTATCATATTCAGCAGAGGAAATACCTAACTAAACTTTTAAAGTATGCTATTTGCTTAACTCAAATGGAAACTGATTTCGGGGGTGTTTAGAAAATGCTCATTCTGTTCCATTTTGTCACCTGTGTGTTTATGCAGCAACCATTTATGTGACAGGTCCTGGATCAGGCACTGGGGATTCAGTGTTGAAAGCCAGACCTGGCTGCTGCCTCCCAGGGGTCTGCTAGCTGGAACCTTTTGGCTCCCTTCTCAAGAAGATCAATATATTAAAATATGTGTTTATTGATAAATGCAATAATATAAAGGACAAGTCATTTCAATGCTTACTGATAATTCTAGTGCTTTATTGATACATATAATCCAAATATAAAATTGGATTATTGGTTTTCAAGCATTCATTAACTTCAAGTATAACTGCCTTTTAAAGTTGTTATTCCCTGAACAAGCAACTGAATTGAATTAGACCTGTAGTAGACCACAAGCTCTAAAATGCTTCTTAGTCATAAAGCAAATCATTTTCTGTGGGTTATATAAAAGGATGCCTGTGATCACTGTGGAAGCATGAAGTTTGAAACATGAGGCTCAGAGGGAAAGAAAAAAAAAAATCACTGACATCTATACCCCAGAAGATGAAGGCAGAAAGGCTTCAGAATTGGTCTCATCAATCTTCAGCTCTGAAGCACAGCCCTGTCTGCGTGTCAGCCTGCGTTGGCCCAGTCTTCCGTGCATGCGTCCGAACTGTAGTCAAAGTCTCTCTGCTCAGAATTCTGATGGGATGAAGGCTGTGTTCTGAACTGGATTCATCACTTTTATTCTGGCAATACTGTAAATTTGAGGGAGCCAGATCAAGAGGAATGCTCGGAATCACTTGGGGGCAGAGCTCTCACGGTGTGTCTGTCACCCTGCACTGCATCATGGGAGAAGACAAACTGGGAGATTTTTACTCAACGTTTCACAGACATTTCCACAGCGTAGCTTTGTGGAACTGCGTGGTGTGGTCTTTGACCCCCAAGGCACTCTAAAGCTCTTGCCCTTCCCTGATGGTCCTCCCTCAGGTCCCCTCTCCCCACTCCCTCTGTCAACCCCAGCCATATCCTTTGGTCTTCAGTTCTTGCAGCCGCATGGCTGAGCTGGCATCTCAGCCAACTCGAAGGTTGTGTGATCTTGACAAGTTCTGATTCTAAGGATTGTTGAGGGGGCCCACCCTCTTGATGCCCTTCTCTCTGGTGAATGCTAGCTCATCCTTAGCTTGTGGCTTAGTGCCGTCTTTCCAGCTGGTGGAAGTTTCTAGTTGCTGGAGACCTTTGGGGGAAGTGGGCAGGTGGTGGGCTGGGGTGGGAGTGGGGAGTGGGGCCAGGGGACAGCTCTTCTGAGACTTGTGGCAGCCACGAGAAGGGAAGGGAGATGGTGGTGGTTTCAAGGGGTACGAGAATAGTGACGGAGGAGGAGAAGTTGAAGTTTTAAGAGAAAAAAGCATCAAAAGTCCCAAAGGGGAGAGCCAAGGAAGGGGTTCAGGACCTTAGATGGACAGATTCACCTGGACAGAACTAGACCAAAGGTGAGATCAGTAAGGAAACCACTTGCTAGGAAGGCAGAGTGGTCAGTTGTTGGAGTCGCCCCTATGTCAAATGTTAACAGAGAAGGGGAAGTGACATCTGACAGAATTCCATAGTCACTTAGCATAGAATTGCACTGATCTTGTAGGAAATGTATGGCCCCTGCCTGGGAGTTTTGGATCTAGCAGAGAGAGGAGGGCTATTTTATCAATAAGTGCATAACCAACCATATCATGAGATAGAAAACGCAGTACACATGGAAAGTTTGGGAGCTACATTTAAAGAGAAAACAGAACCACCATGGGGAGGTTCAGGACAGGTGTGTGGAAGAACAGGCACCTGAAAGGTACCTTCGGTGCCAGGCCCAGGCAGGACAGGCAAGGGTCCCAGGCCAGGTGTGTTCTGGGACTGGGAAATCCAGGGTAGGGCCTGTGAGGCTCTCGGGGGAAGGACAAGCTGGGGTCGGATGGTGAGGGCTGATTGTGGGATGAGACATTTGTTTTCATCTCTGTGGATATTGAAGAGTCTGAACTTTCATGTAGAGGACTGATGTGATTAGAAGCACGATTTGAAAACCACATGGCAGCAGGTACAAGATGCAAGGGGGAAGGCAGGGCGTGGTGGTTCACGCCTGTCATCCTAGCACTCTGGGAGGCCTAGGCGGGAGGATTGCTTGAGCTCAGGAGTTCAAGACAAGCCTGAGCAAGAGCAAGACCCCCCGTCTCTACTATAAATAGAAATAAATTAGCCAAACAACTATAAACAGAAAAAATTAGCCAGGCATGGTGATGTGTGCTTGTAGTCCCACCTACCCGGGAGGCTGAGGCAGGAGGATCGCTTGAACCCAGGAGTTTGAGGTTGCTGTAAGCTAGGCTGATGCCAGGGCACTCTAACCTGGGCAACAGAGTAAGACTCTGTCTCAAAAAAAAAAAAAAAAAAAAAAAAAGATGCAAGGGGGAGGGTGGCTAGGCCATTTGGGTACAGGAGAATAGGGTGGAGGGAGGGGAGGGGGAGAGGGAGTGGAGGTCTTAAATACCGTAGCTATTAGGGACCTATAAAATTTTAACAAGCCTTTTCAGATTATGCTTATAAATCAGCAGACATTTAGATCTTTTTAACACCTTTGCTGTTGTAGAGAATGGTGATAACTGATGTATTACATTTAAGTTTGGTTTAATTTTCATTGGTGTAATTTGTAATATCCTTTGAGTTGTAATTTATGTGCAGAAAATATGGTGATCTGGCGTAATTAGAATAGTCTGTTACTCAGAGCACCAGTTGGGTAAAAATAAGAGTCAGCATATTAGGAGGAGAAAAATCACATTACTAGACTGAAGTTTCCAGGCTCTGGATTCGCTGTGGCTGTGTTGTCCTGGCGGAGGACTGTGCAGTTTGGAGGGGCTGGGGAGGAGGAGGACAGTGATGGCACCTCCCCAGGCCTCATGCATCGGCACCTGCCCGCTCCCGCGCCCACTCTGCCAAGAAGCGGGAGGAAGCTTTGAGGAATGCAAACCGGATCTGTGGCTGTCCCTTGCATGCAGCTCTCAGCCTGCCAGCTCCTGCCCACCCTGCCAGCCTCGCTCCCCTCTGCTCAGTCTTTGGGGGCAAAGGTCTGTTCCTCCAGCACCTTGTCCCCTTCACTCCCGGCTCAGCCCTGTTCATCTTTCAAGTCTCAGCTTCAGGCCACCTTCTCAGGGAAGCCTGTGCTGACAGCCCAGAGTAAGGCAGCCCTCTGCCCCGTCATAGCCCGCCGTGCTCTCAGGCCCTGCAGCACTTAGCACAGTGACGTTATGCCTCTCACTGTCATTGCTGGCGCTCCTCCAGCCACAAGCCCACCTGCCCAGAACGCAGCCTCCTGCAGACAACCTGGGACTGTCCCGTCCGTCCTCTGCTCTATGTCCAGCCCTGGCCCCAGGCTTGGCACAGCCTCAGCCTGCAAGCGGAGCTGCGTGATCGCCCTATCCCAGAGTGTCTGTCCTCACTGCCAGTTTACCGGGCAGACTTTTTTTTTTTTTTAATGATTATAACTGATGACTATGCAATTGGAGAGGGCCAAGGAATATAATTCTTAGGCAGATCACTAAAACTCTCTTTCTGCAAACTCTCTGAAGGGACATGGAAATAACAGTTGTACGGGGTCTTCTTTGACAAGGAATTTTGCCTGGGTTAATTTGCTTAGCAAGCCCTTTCTGGTAGATAGTGCTGTGATAAACTTTAGCCCAGCCTGCCTGGATCCGATGATCGTCAAAGCCAAATGAGCAGAGTCAAAATTCTGTCACAGTTTTACCTTGCTTCATCAATATAAATACTGCAAGGAAAGGGAGGGAATGACCTTCCTGTCACTTGGGAGTCATTTGTGATTTAGGTGTGCTGTTTTTCATGCATGAATGTTTTGCGTGAGAAAGATAAAGTTACAGAATGTTCTCAGGAGGGTGATTTGATGTGTCTTATGGGGCCTTTGAGTGCGGGGTTTGGGGACCAGCTTGGGACTTTGTCCTTAGGTCAGTGCAGTGCGATTGTCACTGGGAGAGGACCGCAGCTGGCAGGGGGCAGTAATTCTGTCCTAATAATTTACAGACCTGCAGGGATGATGGTAGAGTTTGGGGACAATAGGCTGCTCATTTCGTACCCCTTTCCAGAGTCAAGTGCGTTCTAGAGGCTTGCGTGTGAACACGTGCCGTGGCCATGGCTGGGCTGGGTAACGGTGCTGTGTAGGCTGAGGAGCACCCGTGCTCCTGAGTGCTCGTGATCAGGGAGCTTTCTCTGGAGCAGCTGGAAATGGGGCTCAGCGGGGTGGGAGGTAGAGTGGGGGGATCCATGGAGCCCTTCAAGGGCTGGTGGGGAGAGGGGTTCCAGGGCTCCGTCCCACTTCAATTCTAACAGCTCTGCATTTATATGCTGGAGTTCCCTCAAGATTTCCATGGGATAAAACATTCATTCAAAATTAAAAGTTTTGAAAACCTAAAGTTTTCCATTATATCAAGGAAGTCCAACAGACTCAGTAATTATATACTGTTTGCTGAGCACTTACCAGGCGTCAGGCATTCGTAGGTACTTTAAGT